CCCGACGTGATGTTGACCGCCTTATCCACGAAGTGTCGAATGTTCTGTAACATTGTGTTCTTTTATCTTTCTACTTCTTTCTATGCGTGCCGATCAATACATTTTCTGTTTTTTTTTTTTTTTACATTGTGAGTGTCGTGCGCCATGCGCCTTCTGCGGCAGTGGCTTAATAGGGGTGTTTTACTAAAGACCTAAAAAGTATTATACTAGCTGACGCCTTGGAGTCGGTAATATCCAAACGAGAAAGTGTGCCAAAATGTATTTTAGAATAGCTAGAAGAAATACTAACTAGATTTGCTGCTGTTTTGCCAGAAATCTGGCCCCAGTGCACGTGTTCTGTGTCAAAAATGTGCACTGTCAGCAAGCAAGTTTTGCTCATTTATCTTTACCTGTATTATTTAGATAACTGGCATTTTACCTGTTTAACAACGTGCGTGAGGTGGCCAGTCCGATGTTACTGTAGGCTGGGTTTCTTTTGTGAAGAAAAGTGAAGGACCCTTTTCAACTCCTTCAGGCGTATTGGGCTAGCCTTATATTTTATAGATCAATGGGCACTTTTTGGGTGATGTGGTCAGCACCATGCCGGACGCCTTATTTCAAATAACAGCACCTGGAACCAGCTAACGGCTAAAATCTAAAAGGGTGAAATCTCTTTTGCTTTTAAGATCCAACACAATGCCATTTTTGTTTCCATGATCTAATTACGTTAACACCTAAGTACACACTTGTTATTTTAGAACTCCACTTTGACTCTGAAATATAACTTAATGGTTAAACCGGATTTTTGGGACAGCAAAATCAGCAATCAATCAGTAATCAATCAGTAACAGTACTGATCTGCTCTTCCATTACTTTATTATTAATTGACTTTCTTGTGCAGCGATAACAGTGCACATACCTCCGCAGGGAGTAAACTACTGCCATTACATCTTACTGTACCCATCGTTTATAATGTTACTTTAAAGCAAACAGTCATGAAGATTCCATGATTTCTTCCAGTCATTAAATTATACTGTACCCATCTTTTATAATGTTACTTCAAAGCAAACAGTCAGTCAAAAAGATTCCATGATTTCTTCCAGCCATTACATCATACAGTACCCATCGTTTATAATGTTACTTCAAAGCAAACAGTCAGTCAAAAAAATTCCATATTACATCATACATTACCCATCGTTTATAATGTTACTTCAAAGCAAACAGTCAGTCAAAAAGATTCCATGATTTCTTCAAGCCATTACAAATTCTCAAGACATTGCCGCGGAATGAACAACACAGTACCACACCCACATTCCACGAATAGGCACGACCCAGCCAAAGGTCATGTGTGTGTATGTGTGTAAGTTGTACCCCACCAGGACATTACACAAAGCGATAAACACCCGGCGACACAAAGTTCCACAATTCGGATGAGGTCCCAAAATCCCTGTTCAGCCGTTAGGCTATATTTAAGGCCCGGCTATATTCAGGGCCCCTAGCAAAAGCCAGGATGGGGCTTCAAAAAACCAAAAATTGCATTCTACATGGATACGTCTATAAATGAAGTCTAGCAAAAAGGTCATATCGTTTATCTGTAAACAAGACATGCGCACGCTGACCTTGAATACACGCTCAAGAACCATATAGAACTGAAGGGCTTTAGTAGCTTGTCGCCCCAGCCCCCTTGGGGGATGGCTGGTCTCGAAGTATGACATTCGCCTCGAGTGTTGGAGGTCCTAGGTTCAAAACCCGGTGAAGACTGGGATTTTTTCACGTTGACTTTAATAATTTCCCCTGGTGTCTGGACAGTAAGATCGGACGCCCGTGTGTATTTTTGCGCACTTAAGAAATACTTTGGCAGTTGAAAACAGAAAAAGAGTAACCCAACGACGCTACCCGGGCAAAAATTGGAGTTGAAATTCTACCCAAAAGTATTTCAGGATCCTCGCTGTTGCAAACGAGTTCGTGCACAGAGCTGAGATTCTTGAGACTCAGGCTTGAGTTAGAAGTAGAACGGGGCACTTATGGGTTTACATCCGTGTGCCATGATGTTGATGCGTTGAATAAACTTAACTAACTAAACTAAATTTGTCAAATGTCTAAGCTGGCCCCTTCTCAGGCACGTGGAAAAGTTCTCTGTTTAAATTGTTGTTGTTGTTGTTTAGACATATTCTTTCTTTTTTTATTATTTTTTTTTTTAATTTAATGATATTTATGTCTAACTCATCACATTCTAATTTTTTATTATTTCACAATTTTTGTTACTAAGCGTTTGGTGTTAGTTTTCCCCCTTCCACGACAGCAGTCTGTGGGATTAACACCTCAAGTAAGAGAATCAGACCGGTACAAATCTTTGAAACACCGTTTAACCACAAACCATTCAGCACTTGGTGGGCGATATGCTCAGCATCATGCCGGCCGCCTTTACTTCCCATGACTATACCTGGTACCCACGCAAGGCTGGGTCGACCTGAGAGCCAATCATTTTTTGAAGAAAAAGAAAGTCCGGCTGCTTCAGAACTCGAACCCACTTTTCACGCCTTAGACGCATCGGGCATATGGGAAGAGCACCCATATTTTTACAGACCAATCGGCACTAGGTGGGTAATGTGGTCAGCATATCGTCGGCGGTCTTTACTTCCCCAGGACATACATCGTGGTACCCATTTTAGGCTGGGTCGACTTGCTACGCCCTATCATCTATATTATAAGTTCTCTTTGTGCCTAGTGGCACATCAGGCTTCAGAGAGGACTTTCCATGCTTTACAGAAAGGCTGTAGGAGTGACCAGAAGAGATATAAAGTCGACACAGAACCAGTTCTAAATTACATACAAAGACTGCAAATGAAATAGTTTGCTTACTTGGAGGTAATGCCTTCTGATGCTATACTATATAAGGCATATACCAAAAGAGGAGAGGGGCGTAGAGCAAGAGGTAGACCAAGAAAACTGGAAAGATAACATTAGAGAAACTCTACAGCACCACGATGCGTCTATGGTCATAGCAGCCAGAACACGAAGCTGTACCTTATTGCTCCCTCGACATTTGTAGTGGCAAAATAAAGAAAGCAAAGAAGAAGAAGAGGCAGAGAAAGAATAAAAACTTTTATTTTAGTTATGTCCCTTTAAATAACTGGGCGAGGTTAGCTGAGCAGTTACAATGTCGTGGACTCTCGTGCGGGAGACCTCGGTTCAACCCCCGGTTAAGGTAATGGAGTTTTTCCTTCAAGGACACAATTAAACATCCTAAACTGCACAGTCCGTGGCGACAGCACTAACCACGCAGCCCTAAATCCTCAGGCTCACGACAGCCCCAAACCCCCCTTATCTACACCGACATAAAAAGTAAATAAACAGCCAGTAGTGACAGGTTTTTAGTTACAAAGTAACAGGGTTAGACACCGCAAGAGCTAATACAATTTGTAAAAGGGGGAAAGAGGGGCGGCGAAGTGGTCATCTTCTTTGCCTGGTAAGTAAAGTAAAGGACCATATTCCACGCCTTCAGACGCATGGGCATATAGGGCTAGACCTAAATTTTATAGACTAATCAGCAGTCTCTGAGTGATGTGGTCAACAACACGTCGCCAGCCGCCTTTACTTCCCATGACTGTACCTCGTACCCCTCAAGGCTAGGTAGACCTGACCTCCCTCCTTCCCCCAAAAAGGACGTTCGACCCCAAATAATGGTCACGACACACAGGTTGAGAACCGCTGGTCTAGCTGCTACACTACAGCGGCTGCCTGTTTGCCTGGCGCTCAGCTATGTCACGGCGGCTGCCTGTTTGCCTGGCGCTCAGCTGTGTCACGGCGGCTGCCTGTTTGCCTGGCGCTCAGCTGTGTCACGGCGGCTGCCTGTTTGCCTGGCGCTCAGCTGTGTCACGCGGCTGCCTGTTTGCCTGGCGCTCAGCTGTGTCACGCGGCTGCCTGTTTGCATGGCTCAGCTGTGTCACGCGGCTGCCTGTTTGAATGGCTCAGCTGTGTCACGGTGGCTGTCTGTTATGGGTATTTTTAATCGACCTTGGCTGTCATGTTGACCATGTTGTAAACTACCGGGCAAAACTCTGGTTGTTAATCAGCTTTTAGTGTTTGGTCTTGTTCTATAACCTGAGTTTTTTGTGCAAATCCGTTTTACTGATCTGATTTTTTTTTTTAGGTAGACTGTTGGTTCCAGGCAGATGTACTCTGACTTTGATGGAAATATTCCTAACTTGCCGACTCTGACGACATGCTTGTTATGGGGCAGTGGGTCTATTCACCCACCCCACCCGACCCCCACAATGAGACTCCTGAACCCACACGAGGAACAACGTGTGAAGGCTTGGTAAAATATGCATGTAATGAACTGGTCTTTTCGCCTTAAAAGACACGGGCATTTCTGTTTTTGGATTTTCAAGTGTTAACGCACTAGTAAAAGTAAAGCACACTTTTCCAAGCCTTTAGGCCTATAGGGCATATAGGGATAGATCTATATTTTTTATAGACCAAATGGCACAAGATGGGTGATGTGGTCAGCAACACGCTGGCCGCCTTCACTTCCATGCACTGCACCCGGTACCCGCTCAAGGCTGGGTAGACCTGGAAGTCAAGGTCATTTTTGAAAAAAGTCCGGCTACGCCAGGGAGCGATCCCACGACCTTCCGATCTGCACGTGCGAATCTAGTCGGTCCGCCACAGCGACTCCCGTTAACGCGCTAGTGACAATTTAAAATTAGAATAGTGACTCTTAAATGTTTCACTTTCTATATACTCGCTCAGCTTGCCTCGAAGTATCCACTTTATGCGCTGCGTCTACAGCAAATACGCGTTTTGTCAACTCTAGTGTTTTTTATTTTCCACACACACACGCTTTACACAAATGTGATAACTTGTGTATTTTATTTATTTCAGAAATTTCATTTTTTTTCGACAAGAACAGTGCATATCCCACAAATCATTGAGAAGTAGGATTGTTTTGTGCGGGTAGACTAATTGCCGTGACACCGCCCGGTCTGTGATACAAGGAGAACAAACACAAAAACACGATGCAGTATTCAGAGGATGCAGACTGGGACCAGGCAGAAGAAGAAGAGGAGATGTCCCAGGCGGAGAGGGAGTTGGCAGATGATGCCCAGTGGAAATTAATTCAGAAGAATACCTTTTCAAGATGGGCCAATGAGCATTTGAAAACCGTTAACCTAACGTTGACGGATTTGGAGTCTGATTTTTCGGATGGATTGCGATTGGTTGCCTTGGTCGAGGTGTTGTCCGGGAAGAAGTTCAAGCATGTCAACCGCAGGCCGAACTTTAGGACACAGAAGTTGGAGAATGTTACTATGGTGCTGAAGTTTCTGGAGGAGGATGAAGGGATTAAAATCGTTAATATTGGTAAGTAGTCCTTTGTTTTATCTTTGTCGTCATCGTTATCATAATCGTTATCATGATCGTTATTATCATCGCTATCATCATCGTTATCATTATCGTTATTATCATCGTTATCATCATTATGATCATCGTTATCTTTATCATCATCATTTTCATCATCGTTATCATCATCGTTTTCGTCATCGTTATCATCATCGGTATCGTCATAGTTATCATTATCGTTATCATCATCAGGTTCGTGTTATGATACAGAAAGGCTTGTTATCAATAATGCAGGCTATGTAGACTCAAACGCATATATACATATACACACATGCAGAGATGCATGCACAAACACATTTATACACACATAGACTAATACATACACATGCACACATCCATACACTTACGTGCATCTACACACATGCACTCGCATGCATGCATACACAGGTAATTCACATAAACAACCACACACTGAAATATACGCTTACGTATCACCGGTGCACGTTCATACACGCATGCATGCAAACACAGTCATACCCACACACCCAAGTATACCAACGCCTGAATACATATACACACATACATTCACATTCATACAAACACAAACACTAATACATACTCCAACTCATACTCATGCATACACATACGCCCATATATATACAAGCAACTCACCGATACACAATCACCCATACACACATAAACACCCAGATATCCTTAGAGAAGGAAAAATCAACGGTGATCTTTTCTCCTGGTGGGGGAGTCTGAAAAATATGAAGAGCGAGAGAGACAGACAGACCGACACAGCGCGCGAGAGAGAGAGAGAGAGAGTACGCTAGAGTAGATGCGAGAGATAAAAGGCGGGGGCCTGAAAAAAGTAACGAGAACACACACACACAGAGGGGGGGGGGGAGAGAGAGAGAGAGAGAGAGAGAGAGAGAGAGAGAGAGAGAGAGAAGAAGAAGAAGAAGAAGAAGAAGAAGAAGAAGAAGAAGAAGAAGAAGAAGAAGAAGAAGAAGAAGAAGAAGAAGAAGAAGAAGAAGAAGAAGAAGAAGAAGAAGAAGAAGAAGGGAGAACTTAAAGAAAGTTAAGAGAGAGAGAGAGAGAGAGAGAGAGAGAGAGAGAGAGAGAGAGAGAGAAAAGAGGGAGGGAGATCTTAAAAATTGAAAAGAACGAGAGAGAGAGAGAGAGAGAGAGAGAGAGAGAGAGAGAGAGAGAGAGCGCTATAGTAGTAACGAGAGAGAAAAGGGAGGAGGGAGAACCTAAAAAAATGAAGAGAGAGAGAGAGAGATACAGTAGCAGCAAGGGATAAAAGGGGGAGGGGGAACTTGAAGAAAGTGAAGAGAGAGAGAGTTAGAGAGAGAGAGAGAGAGAGAGAGAGAAAAAGAGAGAGAGAGAGCTAGAGTAGTAGCGAGAAAGAAAAGGGATGAGGGAGAGGCTAAAAAAACGAAGAGAGAGAGATACAGTAGTAGCAAGAGAGAAACAGAGGGAGGGAGAACTTGAAGAAAGTGAAGAGAGAGAAAGAGAGAGAGAGCTAGAGTAGTCGCGAGAAAGAAAAGGGAGGAGGGAGAACCTGAAGAAAGTGAAGAGAGAGAGGGAGAGAGCTGCGGAATTAATGAGAGAGAAAAAGGGAAGGAAGAACTTGAAAAAAGTGAAGAGAGAGACAGAGAGAGACATAGAGAGCTAGAGTAGTGGCGAGAGAGAAAATAGGGAGAAAGAACATGAAGAAAGTAAAGAGAGATACAGAGAGAGAGAGAGACAGAGAGAGCTAGAGTAGTGGCGATAGAGAAAGGGGAGAGGGGGAACTTGAAGAAAGTGAAGAGACAGAGAAAGAGAGAGAGAGAGAGAGAGAGAGAGAGAGAGAGAGAGAGAGTTAGAGTAGTAGTGAAAGAGGAAAGAGGGAAAGAACCTAAAAATGTGAAGAAAGAGCTCTAAAGAAGTCGCAGAAAGAAAAGGATGAGGGAGACATTTTAAAGCAGGCATTTATATTCTGTTAACACCGTTTGCTAGACTATCATCAGAGGGGGACATCATTGCAAAACAAAATACTGTTTGGAGGCAAACTGAGAAGTTTGCCTTCTCATCCAACAGCCTAATGTCTGGTCTGCTTGCTGTCACACATTCCATCCCTGCAAACTAGAAAATCCCTATTGATTTTAGGATGCCACTGATCGTCTTGGACTTTTCAGCTACCTTAGAGGTTCCCAAACTTCACAGACCTTTGGAGAACTTGCCAGAGAAAAGCTGTCCACGCAGTATGAATGAATAAATGAATGAATAGATGAATGAATAAATGGATGAATGATTGATTGAATGAGTCAAGAATTAACAAAATTTCACTTCGGGGCATTCCCTCATGGGCTCCGTCTCCTTTCTCAGTTGCCAACGACGAGTCTCAATATGCTGATAGTAGCAGTTGCAACCTGATTATGAGTCCGCTTATATACCTCATGGGAGCGTCCGAATCGGAAGGTCGTGGGTTCGCTCCCTGCCGGACTTTTGTCAAAAATGACGACTTCCAGGTCGACCAGTCTTGAGTGGGTACCAGGTGCAGTCCCGGGAAGTTAAGGCGGCCGGTGTGATGCTGACCACATCGCCCATCTTGTGTTGATTGCTTTGTAAAAATATAGGTCTAGCCCTATGTGTCCTATGCAGCTAAAGGCGGGGAAAAGGGTCCTTGACTTTACTAAATTTCTCCTCAGTTTTAAATACCTTTCAGAACCTCTGCTGTCACTGAATGTATGAATTCTTTGTCTGTTCTATAACACTGCTCATTGATCACAGAGAGCCTTTATCATGTCCACTTTATCATAAGTGGCTCACCGCTCAGAGAAGCGGCTTCAACCAATCTATCTGCCTGTTATTTACCTCGCACACTCAAATATCCTGGACAGAAATCTTTGATATGTTCATGGTCTGTGTCCTATTAAGTAATGTAAGCCACTCTGCGCGTAGAATCCAGTTTAAATTGTCCGAAGCATGCTCTGTGAACCCGTTACAATGACACCACACAGCATACATTTGCTCACAAACCACTACCTCTGAGATGGGAAGGAATTGTATAGAAGCTGTTGGCACCTTTCCCTCTTTCAAGGTCTATATTCTACTGACAAGAGAGAAATGTGATTTATGTCAGAGATACGTCAGTTAAGTGATTTCCATGTGTTCGTGTTTGTTGTATTGTAGATTTATGTATGTTGAATGTTGAGTTAAGAATCGATATCACAGCACTCGGGACACTCCCATAAGCACCCTGATTGTACATTCTTCTCGCCTTTCCCTTGAGTTTTGAGCTTCGATCACGTCCCCTGGTAACTCCGCGCAGCGACATTCTTCTCAGACTAGTGATCTAATTGTACTTTCGCACTGTTGACTCCCTTCCACTGGGCCCTAACAACGTTTAGCTTCTCATTTCCCAAAACACCAACATAACCTAAAGAAAATATCCAAAGGACGCTAAATACCCAGGACCTTTGAAGTGATGATTGGCCTGGCTCGCTAGCGTAGTTGGGTAAACCTGACTTCGCGACGACCGGGTGACGAACTCCTTGTGGTCTGGGTTCACGCTCGGGGATAGGCAGAAAAGCCACATTTCCCCCAGATTTACGGTATTTATCATGGAATCAAGGCAGAAGTTTTGCGATATCCATAGTACCCAGCCAAAGTGTTAAGAACTCATGGTTTCTGGATATTTAAAAAAAAAAAAAAGAAAGAAGTGATGATTGTCACTTTGCACGGAGCATGCATGTCTTCCTCGCCCTTGCTGAATGCACTCTGTGAGTCAGTTACAAATACGAGACATGTGTACATCTGATTTCAAGCCAGCAGAAGGCAGCAGTGACTGCCTCCACCTCCATTATCAAACAAGACGCTAGATAATGGGCTGATTAAGGTTTTTTAGCAGCAATGTTTACTTGTCGTTGGTGATTGTAATATTGTGAAGCTGAGTGCTTCTACTTTCGTGTTGCTTGATTTGATATCATTTCATATTTACAGATAACAGTTTTCTTCTTCTTCTTTGCGTTCACCAGCTGTAAACTCTGGTGGAAGTTCTGGTTGTTCGTCCACTTCTGGACTGCAGTCCTGTTCCAAAACCCGAGTGTTGCGTGTGCATCTGTTTGGGAGATCTGACACATTTGTGTGCAGACTGTTGGTTCCTAGCCTCTCAGGCAGATGCACTCCGACAGAGAAATGTGCTATGTAGTGTTATGATGAGGAATGAGAGTCGCAGCCTATGGCGATGGCGTTTGTGTCTAGCAAGACCCGTCCACTTTTAAAGTCTTCCTCGATCAGAGCATAGGATTTCAGGATTTGTTGCCATAAGTTAAGTTAGTTGCGTATCCTTTACAGGACGTTGCAGAACCAACCCTAACAGTCCCTGGCTGTTGTGTGGTTTCTCTAGGCAAGTTACATCCAGTAGTTTTCCATTGCTTTCTGGACGGTCGGCTTTCTTGATACCACTGTCGAAACCAACGTAAGGCGCATTGCCCGCAGCTGGGATCGAACCTGGCATCCCGGCATTACGAAGCGAAGCGTTCGCATCGACTTAGCCACAGAGCCGACTTGTTGCTATAGCATGTATTTAATTTGCTTCTTCTCAGACATTCAGCTCTCCTCCTTTCTGCAATCATGTCTTCCTTTATTCCTATTCCCTTTCTGATTGCCAGGTATTTTTTTTACGCGCGCAGCAATCCACACGGGCGTCCGATCTCACTACCGAGAGACCAGGTAGAATTACTAGAAGTAAAAAAAAACGCGAAAAAAATGCCAGCCCTTACCGGGGATTAAACCTGGAACTTCTAGCACTCAAGGCGGACACCATGCCTCGAGACCACCCAGTCCCCTGCGCGTCGTTAAGTGTTGGACTGGATGAAATCGGTGATACTGTTTGGGAGTCACTGTGTTACCTTAAGGTTTCTTGCATGGTAAAGAGAGGGAAGGTGGTGGCACACACAATCTAACGATTGTACAAGCAGAGATGGGACAGCTGCAACAATTAGCCTACACCAGGCGCCTCGAGTGTT